AAGATAAAGCTGACTCAGAGAGGACAGAACATCAAGATAGAGCTTGGTAACATTAAAATCTGTGTCCTGGATCAAGCTGGAACTGAAACTAGACTACACTTAAGATGTTCAGCTAAGACAGAAAATTCCTTTTTATTTGATTTAAATCCATGCGGGTCAGACTCTCTGTAACTTGTAACATGCATATGCCTACCTAATATATGTAACATGATCATATTTGCATTTTAGAGAGCTCATTTGGTCTACAAGGATAATGGATTGCCAAGGGCAAGTCAGGGAGAACTGTTAGGAAATTGATTGGTAACCTACTTGATAGATAATATTGGCCTGTACTAGAGGGGTGGCATTTGGGGGCAGAGAGGTGATGGATGTAAGAGACATTTAGGATAAGACATAGAGGAGCTGGATGTGAGGAGAAAAGTTAAGAATGATTCCTAAGCTTGCTGAGTTGAGCAACTGGATTGGTGAGGAGAACAGAGTGGGTATAGGGTTTGCCTGTGAAACATCCATAAAAGATGACAAATGGGGTGTTGGGCATATGGGTCTGAAATTCGACCAAATTACAGGCTGGACATACAAATTTTGGAATCACTAGCACATAGAGAGTGTGTGAGAAAGTAAAAATATCAATATTTAAGGAACAGGTAAAGAAGCTGGGGAGGCAGGAGGCTATTCATGGATGTGCAGTGTTGCAGGAACAAGTAAGGATAGGGGTTAAGAAGGCCAGAGTGGTCTGCAGTGGTAAATACTAAGAGCTAAAGCCAAGTGGGACTAAGATGTTTCCTTCAAATCTAGAACATGAATGGAGATCTTTAGAGAGCTTTTAGCACAATATTGGGCACGGAATCCAGCTTGCAAAGGGTTGAAGGTAGGAGGGGTGTGTGTGTGTGTGTGTGTGTGTGTGTGTGTGTGTGATCAAATGAGAAAACTTTCGGAAGTTATTCCACTTTGTAGTAAAACTTTGCAAAACTCCTGAGCTAAGTTATCGGTCTTCTTGTTGCTAATACTGACATATGTGGTGCTCCTCCCCACGCTCATGTCTAAATACCATCAATACGCCACGGCCTCTCAGATGCACGCATGTCCAGCCTCTTCCCTGAAGTCCAAGCAGACTCTCCAGCTGCTTACCCAACACCTCCAACTGAAAGTGGAATGAGCATCTCAAAGTCAATGTGTTCACAACTGACCTGTTGACCTTCTCCCAAACTGCTCCTCCTGGAGCCTTCTTGACCACAATCTTTCCAGTTGGTCTGGGCAGTAAAGACTTTTTTTTTTTTTTTTAATATTCCAAGTAAAAATGTATTGACCCTCTAAGGAAGAATTTCTTACTTATAAGTTTAGCATATAGGAGTTACTTCCCCTGGACTGAAAGAGTATCTGGAAAATGTCTTTTTAAAAATTTTTTTAATGTTTATTTGTTTTTTGAGAGAGAGAGAGACAGAGCACGAACAGAGACAGGGCAGAGTGAGAGGGAGACAAAGAACGTGAAGCAGGCTCCAGGCTCCAAGCTGTCGGCATGGAGCCTAATGTGGGGCTTGAACTCACGAACTATGATATCATGACCTGAGCCAAAGTCGATGCTTAACCGAATGAGCCACTCAGGCACCACTGGCCATGTCTTTTTATAGAAGTCTACCACATGATAAGTCTACTGGAGATCCAAAGGGGTCTGCCTTTGTGGAATCTGAAACAAAAGAACAAGCAGCAAAATACTGAGGTAGATCCAGAACCTATAAAGAAAAGCAATGAAAATTTCCATTTTGAATAGTAAAAAAAATTTTTTTCTTACTGGTTTTATTTCAGTTTCTTAACAATTTACCAGAAGAAGCACTGAGAAAATCTGGTTTATTTCCTGCTACAATAAAAAAAAAAAAAGCTCATTTGTGTCCTTAGAGTAGTTGGCACATCATTTAACATTAATATGTAAGCAGATGCAGTTGAAGTGAAATAAAAACTAATCATAGCATTGTTACAGAAGAACAGAAAAAGGAGTTACAGAAAAAAGAAAAAGAAGAAAGACTGAATGAAGAAGGAAGACAATATCCAGACCAAAGAACCAACTATGGACACAAGCAAGGGGAGCATCTGTAAAATAAGAAGATCCAGAACCGCATCTGAGGGCCCTGATGTACAGATTACTAAATCCCAAAGGCCACTCTCAAAAGAAAAGAAAAAAAAAATGGGAAAGAGCTGAACTATCCAGCTTACCTTCAGTCAGAAAAGGGAGATGGAAACGAAGTAGCTCTGAAGATGTAGAACATGTAAGTCTCAGATCAGAAAGTAAAGTGAATGGCTCAGAAAGACAACATTAAAAAAGATGCTTCAGAAGTTTCCGAAGAAAACATAGGTATTTGCAACTTTAAGGTTAGGATTAGATAAATAAGGATTTCTTATTTAACTTATGTCTCTATTTCTTGATATGTAATTTAAAGATTTAGAAGTCTCTACTCTAGAGGAAAAGAGTAGAGGAGATGTAAAACATGGGTTCCTCCTAAAGGCAAAAAGGAAGCATAAGTAATAACATAATGAGGCAAAACGTGGGAGAAGAGATTATACCATTAAGAGTACTGTCAAAGTAAGTTAGTGATACAAATTTTACTAGCAATTGACACACTCCATGGACTCATTCTTGACTCTTTGTCTCATGTCCCTTATAAACTCTATTGGCAAATCCTCTTGGCTCTGCTTTTTTAAAAAAATCTGGAATCTGACTATTTTTTACCTTCCATTGCCATCACAGCAATCTTTTACATGAATTACTGTAATAGGTCTCCTTATCTCCACCTTTGCTGAGCCTTCAGTATATTCTCAACAGAGCAGCCAGAATGATACTTTGAAAAGGACCTCAAGAACCTGGAAAAGCTTCAAGAATAGATTATGAGGAACATATTCCCAACAGCAGGAAAGAAGAAATAAAAACCGAAGTCTATTTGAGAAGCCCGAGCACCCAATCTTCAATGAAGGACGAAGAGGCTGGGAACTCTAACTTACAGGAGTGCAAAGGCAGGTGTGATTTAAACACTTACGGGCCAAATACTTTGAGCATCAGCTGCAACAGTAGTCATAAGGGAACCAGTCCAAGACATAGAGTGAGGTGCTAGGTGTGAGTGGGGCATAACAGCCAGAGCCGATGCTGATGCTCTTGTTCTGGGAGTCTTAGGGGCTTGCAGACCCTTCTGGCCGATCCTTTTTGGGTTTCCCACTGTAGCAGTGTGTCTTTAACCACAGTAGGCTTGGATATCTAATTAGGCATCTGGAAGATCAGATCAGCCTTGTCTTCTAAAGTCCTAGGGATGTTAGGTCAGACTTGAAAATTTTCCTTGGTCCAATATTGCACTCTTGACCTAGAGACCTCATGTTTAAAATCCATGCCTTCCTCTTCCCCAAGTCAACTCTCCTCATACCAGCCAAGTGGAAAGGATGGAAACCTCTGTCCCTTGGTTCACTGAGACAAGGAGTTCACTATGGACCAGTGTTAGTCTGATTATTGGACCAAAAATGGGAAGCCCTCCAGTGGCCACAGAAATTCTAGAACCCCCAGTGTTGGAGCTGGCATTTGAGGCTTCAATGATCACAGTACCAGACTGTAGTATTATAGAACACTGTCTACTGAGAACTCCAGCTTATTCTTTGAAGGTACCATGAAGAATCCCCATAAAAACAGTGTTGATGAAGTTCATTCATGTGTGTAGTTATAGGTTGTAAATTTTAATTGCTGTAAGCTATTCCATTTTATGAATATATGTCCCAAATATTAGAGTACTGATGACCACTTTGGTTGTTCCCAGTTTGGCATAATCCTAAACAATGCTGCAATACACATTATTATGCTAAAAATTAAGTATAGAGTGGCACCCTGATTCTCTGGATTAAACCATTACCTTTACACTATTCTTACACTATGTTACTTTTCTGACCTCATACTTGCTACTTTGTCACTTGGTTATTACATTCAGCCATATCAGACTCTTGGTACTTATCAAACATGCTGAGTACACCTTCCTGACAGGAAGTGCCTTTGTACTGGCTATTCCTTCTGGCTAGAATATTTCTTCTCAAGATCTCCACAAGGCTCCCTCCCTCCCCTCCTCTGTCTCCATGTCCCCTCCATGAGACCTACCTGGCCAAGTGTTTTAACACCCGATTTGCTTCCTAACACTCTCATTCTCTGCTATCCTGCTCTACTTCTCTTTTCTTCAAACAATTTCCATGTAGAAATTAACATCTGGTAAGATTGCAGGATACAAAATCAATGCACAGAAATCCACTGCATTTCTTTTTTTTTTTAATTTATTTTTAAAATTTACATCCAAGTTAGTTAGCATAGAAATCCACTGCATTTCCATACACTAATAATAAAACAACAGAAAGAGAAATTAAGAAAGCAACCCCATTTGCAACTGCACCAAAAAGGATAAAAAAAATCTAGGAATAAACTTAAACAAGGAGGAAAAAGACTTGTACTCCGGAAACTATAAAACACTGATGAAAGAAATTGAAGATGGCAAACAAATGGAAAGGTACACCATGCTCATGGATTGGAAGATCCAGTATCATTAAAATTTCCATACTAGCTAAGACAATCTACAGCTTTAATGCAATCCCTATCAAAATACCAAAAGCATTTTTCACAGTACTAGAACAAATAATCCTAAAATTTGTATGGAACCATAAGAGACCTCAAAAAGCCAAAACAATCTTGAAAAAGGAAAACAAAGCTGGAAGTATTGCAATTTCAGGTTTCAAATTATACTACAGAGCTACAGTAATCAAAACAGTATGGTACTGGCACAAAAATAGACCCATATATCAATGGAACAGGACAGAAAGCCCAGAAACAAACCTATGATTATATGGTCAACTAATCTTCAATAAAAGAGGCAAGAATATGCCATGGGAAAAAAACAGTCTCTTCAACAAATGGTGCTGAGAAAATTGGACAGCTATATGCAAAAGAGTGAAACTGGACCACTTTCTTATACCATTCACAAAAATAAACTCACGGGGGATTAAATTACCTAAATGTGAGACCATAAAAATTCCTAGAAGAGAGCACAGACGGTAATTTCTCTGACAGCAACCACAGCAACATTTTTCTAGATAGGTCTCCTGAGACAAGGGAAATAAAAGCAAAAATAAACTACTGAGACTACATAAAAATAGAAGGTTCTTCATAGCAAAGGAAACAATCAACCAAACTAAAAGAACCTCTTGAATGGGAGAAGATGTTTCAAAATGACATATCTAATAAAGGGTTAGCATCTAAAATGTATAAAAAATCTTATAAAAGTCAACACCAAGGGCTGCCTTGGTGGCTTGGTTGTTTGAGTGTCCAACTCTTGGATTTGGCTCAGGTCATGATCCCAGGGTTGTGGGGTCAAGCCCCACATTGTGCTCCATGCTGAGTGCGGGGTTCTGTCTCTCTTCCTCTGCCCTTCTCCCCCATCCCATGCACACATTCTCTCTAAAATAAAATAAAATTCAACATCCAAAAAACAAATAATCCAGTTAAAAATTGGCAGAAGACATAAAGACATTTTTCTAAAGAAGACATACAGATGGCCAACAGACATGAAAAGATGCTCAATGTCACTCATTATCAGAGAAATGCAAATCAAAACCACATTGAGATATTGCCTCACATCTTTGAGATTAGCTAAAATAAAACACAAGAAACAAGTGTTGGTGAGGCTGTGGAGCAAAAAGAAACTTTGTACATTGTTAGTGGGAATGCAAACTGGTACAGCCACTGCGGAAAACAGTATGGAGATTCCTCAAAAAATTAAAAACAGAACTACCCTACAAGCCAGTAATCACACTGCTGGGTATTTACCCAAAGAATATAAAAACACTAATTCAAACAGATATATAATTATTGCAGCATTATTTACAATAGCCAAATTATGAAAGCAGCCCAAGTATCCATCAGTTGATGAGTAAATAAAGTAAATAAATGTGTATATACCACATATACACACATATACACACATATACACATATATGTATATATACGTATATACATACACATATATATACACAATGGAGTATTATTCAGCCACAAAAAAGAATGAAATCTTGCCATTTGCAACAGAGATGGAGCTAGAAAATATAATGCTAAGCAAAATAAGCTAGATAAAGACAAATACCGTATGATTTCATCATATATGGAATTTAAGAAACAAAACAAGTGAACAAAAGGAAAGAAAAAGAGAGACAAACCAAGAAACATACTCTTAACTATAGAGAACAAACAGATGGTTACTAGAGGGGAGGTGAGTGGGGGGATGGGTGAAACAGGTGATGGGGATTAAAGAGTACACTTATCATGAGGAGCGCTGAGTAATGTATAAAATTGTTGAGGAGCACCTGGATGGCTCAGTCGGTTAGGCATCTGACTTCAGCTCAGGTCATGATCTCACAGTTCGTGAGTTCGGGCCCCATGTCAGGCTCTGTGATGACAGTTCAGAGCCTGAAGCCTGCTTTGGATTCTGTCTCCCTTTCTCTCTGCTCCTCCCCCATGCATGCTCTGTCTGTCTGTCTCTCTCTCTCTAAAATAAACATTAAAAAAGTTTTTAAAAAATTATTGAATCACTATATTGTACACCTGAAACTAATATAACTTTTATGTTAACTATACTGGAATTATAAAAAAACTTAATTATAAAAAACTTAATAAAATAAAAAAGTTTAACATTCAATACATTTCATTGTTTATTTAAAAATTTTTTTTTACATTTGTTTATTTTTGAGAGACAGAGTGAGACAGAGCACAAGCAGGGAAGGGGCAGAGAGAGAGGGAGATACAGAATCCAAAGCAGGCTCCAGGCTCTGAGCTGTCAGCACAGAGCCCAATGCGGGGCTTGAACCCACAAACTCAGGTGAGATCATGACCTGAGCCGAAGTCGGACACTTAACAGACTGGAGCCACCCAGGCGCCCCCATTTCATTATGTTTATGAATCAGTCTCACTCTCCTGGCCAGAAGGAAAGCCCTGGAAGGCAGGGATTTTTGTTTATGTGTTCAATGATATATCCTAAGTACCTATAATAGTGTCTGGTACAGAACATGAATTCAATGGATATTTGTTGTGGTGGTTTTTTCCAATGAATATTTGTTAAAGGAAGGAACAAAGGAAGGAAGGAAGGAAGGAAAGAAGGAGGGAGAAAGCAAAGATGGAAGGAAGAAATTTTGCTTTGAAGAGGAAGAGATAACACGGTAGTAGATAGCATAAGGGAAAGGATTTTCTAATAGAAACTTGGGCATGTCTCACTGCTGAGGAGGGGGGCCAGGAGAGGCTGAATATACAAGAGAACCGACTGCACCAAGTGAGAATGTGAGAAGTAATGGGACCCAGAACACAGATGGTAGGATCAGCACTGGCCAAGCCCAGGTCTGCAAAGAGCATATTTAAATCCTGGTGAAAATTCTATCAAGTCCCCAACAAGAGTGGACAGGCTAAAAACTACACACGGGACTTATATTGCTATGCAGTAGTTGGCTCCTAAGGCTCTGGATTTCCTTCTGCCTGACTGGACCTGGTTCTGCCCTCCTACCAATCCTCCCCAATCTGCCCCAGCCCCTGGAGGAAATGAATTAAGAATGAATGCTGATGCAGATAGGTCACGGACCTTTTGGTAGGATCCCAGTTGGGAGTGCTCCTGTTAGCTTTTGTTTTTACATTTTGTTTTGTTTTGTTTTGTCTTTCACAGAAGTGGGAGATGAGGTCATTAGCTATGATTTAATTGTGCTGGTAGTGTTGGGTTTGAGGTGTGAAAACAGGTTGTATATTTTTATTGTGGAAAATGGGAGAGTATTAGGAATTGCTACTATGGTGAAAGGTAGAAAAGCTCATTAGGGTATCATGGAAGGATAAAATCCAGCCAAGGTCAATGATTTGCATTCATGGTTGTTGGCATGTGTACAATTGCATTTTGCTAGAGCAGTGCTCAGCAACTCAGGTGTAAGCATGGAGCTTCAGTCCCAGGGTGGAGTTTTATGGTGTCTTTTTGTTGTTGTTCAGGTAGGTGAAACAGAACAACAAGCAAGTTATTCAAGGCAGCGAAAGTATCTTGCCTGAAGTGATAGATGGTGAAATCTAAGCTGGGTAAGGAAGATATAAGGGACCAAGAGGAATAAAGGGCTCTAGAGACTACAGCAGTGATTATCAAAATTCAGTGGGTATAGAAATCACCTTGGAAAGGCCAGATCCTGGAATTATTTTCAGCAGGTGTAGGGTGAAGATCAGATATCTATTCTCTTTTTTTTTTTTTTTTTTTTTTTTATTTATTTCTAGGAAAGAGAGAGAGACAGCGTGAGCAGGGGAGGGTCAGAGAGAGAGGGAGTCACAGACTGAAACAGGCTCCAGGCTCTGAGCTGGCAGTCAGCACAGAGCCCGACGTGGGGCTCCAACCCACAAACTGCGAGGTCATGACCTAAGCGAAAGTCGGACACTTAACCGACTAAGCCACCCAGGCGCCCCCCAGATATCTATTCTCATAGATTGACTGTGATTCTGCTGTAGGAGTGCCATGTACCATTATTTTTTTAGAAACAGTGGATTTGAAATTATAGTGAGTTTAAAAAGGTGATATATTTTAAGAGCAGATGAGACACACAGAGAGAATGCTATTAGGATAGGTGGTTACAGTGTGAGATGACTAATTTATTATCTCAAAGTTGGCACAGCTTTAAATGATGAAAGGTTCAGGGTGTGCCCAAGAGGGTAAGTGGCTGAAGTGGAGTGTGGAGTAGAGGTGAACATCACTAAAGGTGAGGAGGTCAAAGTGCTGAAGGCCTAGGCAATCCCCGTGAACCTGAAGCCACTCCAGATGATGGCAGTATTGGGGACAGTGAGCAAAGTTCAAAGGCATTGGTAAATGAAGGGGAGAGAACTACACGTGGGGAGACAAAGCAAGGACATGGAGTTGAGGGAATATAACTGGCTGAGTTTTTATACAAGTTAGAGTGATGAAACTCGCTAACATTAGTTGAATGTTTATTGAAGCTTTACATAAATCAATCTATTTTATCCTCACAAACTTCATCTAAAGTAGGTGCTATTGTTTTTGTTTGTGTAGGCTCCATGCCCAATGTGGGGCTCGAACTCATGACCCCAAGCTCAAGAGTTGCATGCTCTACCAACTGAGCCAGCTAGCCATCCTAAAGTAGGTGCTATATTTTATTCCCCTTTTATGATCAGGAAACTGAAGCAATGAGGTTAAACATCAACCAGCTTCTCACAATTCTTTTTTTTTTTTAATTTTTTTTATGTCTTTATTTTGAGAGACAGAGACATAGAGTGAGTGGGGGAGGGGCGGAGAGAGAGACACACACACAGAATCTGAAACAGGCTCCAGGCTCTGAGCTGGCAGTCAGCACAGAGCCCGATGTGGGGCTGGAACCCATGAACTGTGAGATCATGACCTGAGCTGAAGTCGGACGCTTAACCGACTGAGCCACCCAGATGCCCCATCACAATTCTTAACCAAAATGCTACATTGCTTCTCATAAAATGGTAAGTGAAGGTGTTTTCATACATTTCAACTGAAAAACAAAACAAAACAAAACAATCCTGTGGGGTTAACATTTTGGAAAATTCTCTTCAAATTTCATTTGTACTGAAATACTTGTTTTTCAATACCCAGCAGGGAGCAGCAGTAAATAACAATTCCTTACTAGGTCATCTAGTAGAAATGATCTGCATCTATGAAGACTTCTGTCTATTCCATGCCTTAATGATTTCTTCAGCAGCATCCAGTGTACTGTCTTTCTGTAAATAAATGAAATAGTCATCATTACATATCAAATGAATTCAAGATGAAGTAAGATTTAAATATGAAAAATATAACGAAGTCGATGGATCAGAAGATTCATGTAGTGACTTGGAACCCAAGTGTTCCTCAACCCCTGATAACTTGAGCCGGGCCCAGTTGGGCTCCAGCCTGTCCTTGGCCTCTCCAGCACCAAGCTCCAGAGCAATGATTCAGGGAGCGTGTCTTCCCAGGAGATGAGTCATTGGAAGCCTTGCCTGTATTAAGCCACAACTCTGGGAGGACGTGGACAGAAACTGGGAAACGGCATTTGTAGCATCTTCCCTTGTGGGACAGTGTAGTACACGGGTCCCAAGCTCTTTAAAGAGCCCAGCAGCAATCAACTAACCAATCATTTGTAACATTTTATCCCAATACTGCCTGGCTGGAAAAGTGTATGAACCTCATAAAAATTCAATGTTAGAGGAGCTGGAGAAGTGTGACACCAATCACTACATCATACTGCTTTGTGATACTGGCTGCCAGTTCATTGCTTTGAAAGGACATTGAAAAAAATGTAGGAAATTAACTGCCATGGGGCCAAAAAGCATCACCAAACTGTATAAATGCAAATCAAACTCAAAACAGTTTAACCTGATCCCAGCCAAAACCATCTTCAACAGTGTGGACCCTCTCACTATTTATAACCATTATGGCAGCACAAGCAAGCGGTAATGCCAAAGACCCAGACTCATAAATGACACAGATGCCAGCAGCAAGACTAAAGGAGGTGCTGATGGGATTGATAATTATTACTTTTGCTTCCTTGCTTCTCACCTCACGCCCTTCTGCACATGACCTGACACCTCTCATGATGTCCCACTATAAGTATGGGAGATTATAGGACTGATAGTCAGTCTCCAGTTGAGGTATCTGAATGTCTTCAGGAAAGGAATTCATGTGGGGAATATCCTTTTCATTTAAGAAATGTATATCTTTACTGATATTTATTCAATGCTAAGATTTCTGAAAAAAATTCTTTTTCCTTGCTGCTCAGAAAAGTTTACTGAAAATTCTAGTTAACTAAAAGTACTAAAATCTGCGAAGTCTGTCTTCTGCTAAAATGACATTTACGAATAGGAAGATGTGTCTTTCTGACACACAATCGTGGTGAATGGTACTACTACTAGCTGGCATTCGCCTAATTGAAAATAGGCAAGTTGAGCAAATTATAGCCACCATTCATTCAGTTTTGGATAGTACTCTAATGACGTGTTCACTTTAAGATAAAGACAGATTTGATAAAGCAGGAAAAAGTATGAAACATAATAGCGCTAATGAAGACTTAAGTGGATATCTGATCTAAGTGAAGAGAATTTTTCAAAGTAAAAATGGAAAGGCAGACCTACAAAAGGAAAGCAATCAAATTAATATACAGTTGCAGAAACAAATCAGAGAACAGAAGAGTTTACACAGAATAAGAAGCATCCGCTCCTCCTCTCCTGCTGCTTCCTACTATTCCCGTCATCTCCCAAGACGACCTTTTAGGGCAATTTCCGGTTTTAGTTCTAGTGGTTACCTCCAAGATCTAAATTGTGCATTTGGTTCTATTTATCAATTTCAGACAAAATGCAGACTGCTCTGGAGAAAAATTCATTCATCCACACTTCTCTGACCACTCCCATCGATGTTTCATAGCTATAATTACTAATAAAATTCATTTGCCTTTTGTTTTTTTTTACATTTATTTGTTTTTGAGAGACAGAGTGAGACAGAGTGCAAGCAGAGGAGGGGCAGAGAGAGAAAGAGACACAGAATCTGAAGGAGGCTCCAGGCTCTGAGAAAAAGTTCAGCACAGAGCCCGACACGGGGCTCGAACCCACGAACCGTGAGATCATGACCTGAGCCAAAGTCGGACACCAAACCAACTGAGCCATCCAGGCACCCCCATTTGCATTTTGAACAGGTAATACCAGAATTTGGTAAAAAATTAAATTGGTGGATAAACAGTCAAAAACAAGTCTCTTGTTTTTCTCTTCTGCTTTTGCTACTTCTTTTCTTTACTCTTCCCTCTCTACAGAATGATTTAATACAAAAGCCATTAGGTGGGGCTGAGTGAAGCCAGGTTCATATCTGGAGGCAGGGGGAACCTGGGCAGCCTGGTGCAGGATGTTGCAGCCAGAGTGGAGTGAGGAGGGTTTCCAGTGTGGCAGGAGGCGGTGATGACGGCAACGGCAGTGTCAAATGGAACAGGATGCAGAATCTAAGCACGGTAAGCCAGCATCTCTATGGCAGGGTGGCTCTGCGCAGGCTGTCGAAACCTAGACAGGGTGAGGCAGGCATCTGCCAAGGTAGCAGGCATGGGGTGTCAGAGCCCAAGAGGGGTGAAGGATTCCTTGCAGTAGGTGACAGTGGCAGCCTGGTGTGCAGTGTTGGAGCATCAAAGGAGGTCATCTCAGGAGAAGGTGACCACAGTAGCAGCCTGGTACAAAGTGTCAAAGCCTGAGAGGGGTAGAGGGTGTCAGGAGTGGTGGCTGGAAGGGCAGTAGCTCATAGAGAGGGACTGAGTAAAAAAGTGATTACATGATGAGAGCCAGGTTTTTGGGTTTTTTTCAAAGAAGGGAGTTACAAATATGGAAAATCCTTTCGCACAAGACATTCAAAATGTGCAAGTAAATCCACAGAGGGAAAAAATCCTAGAAGTAGAATTTCTGGGTTAAGAAGCATGTACATTTAAATTTGGGTGGAAATATTCAAACTAACTGCTGTTAAGGGATTTTACAAATTATACCTCCACTCTCTATCTATACCAGTGTCTTATCGAACTTTTTAGTTGTTTGGTTGTTTCCAATCTAACAGATAAAATAAAATTTTGTTGCAGTTTTAATTTTCACTTCTTATGAGTAAAGTGGAACATCCTTTCAAATATTTGATAGGTGCTGAGAATTTTACCCATAACCATCGTAAAGTGCTGTTATTGGCTTATTTTGCCTTAAATTTAAGCTGCTTCCTTTCAATTTCCATTTTCTTGACATGTTTTGCCATACTTTTATTTTTCGCATTTCCAACAGGTTGAGTTAGATACATTAACTTTCCCTTGAAACTTCTTTGGGTTCCTCCCCTATCTTCCAATATCGAGTGTTGATGTAAAAAGAGGTGGGTCCGCACTGACCCTCTTACCTGGCCCCAACAAGGCCTGGGTCTTTTTGTCTAGATGTCAAAGTACTGTTTATCTTTTAAGTCCAATATATCTTTTTTTTAATGTTTTATTTATTTCTGAGAGAGAGAGAGAGAGCGTCAGCAGGGAAGGGTCAGAGAGAGAGGGAGATACAGAATCTGAAACAGGCTCCAGGCTCTGAGCCGGCTGTCAGCACAGAGCCCGACGCGGGGCTCGAACCCACGAACCGTGAGATCATGACCTGAGCTGAAGTCAGTCGCTTAACTGACTGAGCCACTCAGGCACCCCTTAAGTCCAACATATCTCAGTGTTAATTGTTCTGTGACAATTTTGCCTGAGACAAGGCATTCCTTTTCAATTTTAGATTTGTCTGTTTTTTTAATGGAAAGCATTCACAAAATAAAACTATAGAATGCATTTCAGTTTCCATTTGTCCCCCACCCCCCTGATTTCCCCTATTAGGGGATTCAACATATTTCACTTGTCTTCCACATCTATGATTTTTCTAATATTTAAAAAAATCTTTGTTCTTTTCCTTGCTTGCTTTTCTCAATCCTTAATATGCTTACAGAAGTACAGAGTGTTTTCTGTGCCACTTCCAATGTCACTACAATTGCCTTTCCCCCTTCAATTTTGTACCTGAGCTCTGACAAATCGCCATTTCATCTTCTTATATTATCTGATGTTATCTTCCGTGAACTTTTAAAATCTCTGCTTTAATCTCATTTGAAAGGTTTTAGATTTGAGCTGTTGATTTTTATTTCCTCTACAGCAACATTCTTCTGGTTGAATATTCTCTTTCTGACACTTGTCTTTCCTTGTACCTTTCTCCTTTTTTCCTTTTAGTATCTTCTTATAGATTCATACCTGATTCCTTCTCATTACTCATCTTTGATTGAATTAGCTTTGTGAGCTCCCACTGCTACCACACCTACTGTTTCTATTGTTCTGGGTAATGAATATGCTACCTACTGACTCTGTCTATGATTTGAAGATGTACCTGCAGATCTGTGTGAGAGAGGAGCCAGTGCAGCACTAGGAGACAGGAGAAATTCTGCCTGGATCACAGCGAAGTTTAACATGACTGATGTGGACTTCAGCGGTCAGGGAGGAGCGTACTTTTTTTTTTTTTGTCCCCTTACAGCTCATTTAAGTCGCTACCTGGCGCGCCTGGGTGGCTCAGTCGGTTAAGCATTCGACTTCAGCTCAGGTTATGATCTCATGGCTCGTGAATCTGAGCCCCGTGTCAGGCTCTGTGCTGACAGCTCAGAGCCTAGAGCCTGCTTCAGATCCTGTCTCCCTCTCTCTGCCTCTCCCCTGCTCTCTCTCTGTTAAATATAAAAAAAATTTTAAAAACCAAAAAACTTTAAGTTGCTACCTGCAATTTGATATATCTTCCTCTACATTGCCCCAATAAGGCTTTCCGTAAAAATGACAGGAGTGAACTAGAATATCTATAACCCAGCTAGAATCTCCTTCCCACCCTGCCCCACATAGTTCTAGATGACACAGCTGTGGGTTCCGGGCCTGCCTTTCATGACGCCAAGTCAGTCCAGAGGAGTTCCCTCTGCCAGGGTACTTGTCCCATTCTTCTGGATGAGGAGGCTGCCTGCTGGCTCCGTCAATAATGTAAAGATGTAGACACAACAGACTTTCTAGGTGTCTTCCCTCTACACCGTATTTGCCAACTCTTCTTCACTTACTGAGGAATTTGTGAATCTGTTTTCCATTCTACTTGTTTTGAATAACTTCCAAGTAGAGAATGGGGAAGGGCTGTGTTTAGGAATTTTAAAACAGAAAGTCTTCTGTTACTTTTTTCCTTTATTAGTTCTGTTTAGAACTTTAAATAATACATCTCTATTTCTAGATCCACTCTGATATGAGAATATTAATGGCTTTACCCTTTCTTCTACATTTCAGTCAATTAAATGTTGACATTATTAAGTTGCTAACATTTTTATTCTCTTCGGAATAAGTCTCCTATAGGTTGTCTACAGATTGTCTCTAAAGGTGAAAACAATGTTTACATCATTCTGACTAGGTTTATAGATGAGTGTGTTTGTAAAGAGTTTCTTGAACATATTAAGCCTGTCTTCAGTGGCAGTAACACCTTAAAAATAGCAATAATACATATATTCTGATATCTTTTTAGCAAAGATCTGATGATAAGGAATTCATTCGGCTTTTATTCATCAGGAATCTACACTTCATATTCAGTTTTAAAGGCTATTTTCCTCGATAAAAGAGTTCTGGGCTTACACATTATTCACTTCAGCAGTTTCAGGATGTCATTTCATTGTACTCTGGTCTCCATTGTTTCTGATGAGAAGTTGCTAAATTCACATGCCTGTGAGGTATAGTTTTTCTTTGGCTTTTTTCAAGATCTTACCATTACCCTTGATTTTCAGCAGTTTGAGTAAAAAGTGTCTAGGTGTGGTTTTGTTTATATTCTGCTTGTGGTTCACCGAGCTTTTAGATCTCTAAGCTGCTTTTTACCAAACACAAGGAAATTTGGGCATTTACTTCTTAAAATAGTTTTTCTGCTACATTCTTTTTGGTACTTCAATTACATGTATATTATCACTTGATATTGTTTCATAGATCTAAGGCTTGGTTCATTTCTCAAAAATAATTGTTCCCTCTGTTTTTCAGGTTGGATAGTTTCTATGAATCTGTAATCCAAATGGGTCCTTTTTTCCTGACATCCTCAATCCTCTCTGTGTTAAGCTCCATATATTTTTCATATCAGAAATCACACATTAAAGTTCTTAAATTTCCACTTGATTTTTTAGTTTTAATTTGTCCACTCATAATGTCCATATTTTCTTTTCTTTATTTTTAATTTATTGATTGATTGATTGATTATTTTTGAGAGATACCACACGCATTCACAGGGGAGGAGATCATTACCTGAGCTGAAATCAAGAGTCAGATACTTAACTGACTGACACCCAGGTGCCCTCCTTTAATTTCTTGAACATACTTATAATCTCTGCTTTAAAGTTCTTATCTACTCACTCCTATATCTGGGTCACCTTGCAATCTGTTTCTACTGACTGCTTTTTTTCTTTATTAAGGGCCACATTTCCTTAAGGCTTCACATGTCTAGCAATTTTTTATTACATGCTTGACACTGCATTGTCACATGGTAATGAGTCTGATAATGTTGTAATACAGTAAACTCAACACTCAGGTGTTGAGTTTTGTCCTTGTAGGCAGTTAATTCCACGGCAGGAAGCCAAAATTTAAAAACTACCTATAAGCATATCATGCCTAGCAATAGAAAAAAAGGTGCTTTACAAATGAGAAGGAAGAACATCATAAATGTATTTTTTAATAGAACAGGGAACTTACTTTAATGAAGCAAAATCGTACAAACTTCTCAAACTGTAATATGGTCTCTGCATTACAGAATGCGGAAACTGGAATGGCTGACAGTTTCTGAAAAATAAATAGAAAAATAAAATAGGAAAACGATTTCTACTTCAAATACTAATTTTAGACTGATAAACATTAAAAACAAATAGACACTTCTAAATATTCACAACTTCCAACGAGAAAAATGTTTTAAAAATCCTCTACATAGCCCTAAGTGGGATATGACATAACAAAACTACAGTTAACATTGTTCAAAACAGGTCAGCAAGGTTCCTTCATAAATTAACCATAAGATACAGCACAATATCTAAAGCCAATAAACATTACCTTATTTTTAGTCATCCATTTCACAAATTTATAGTCATAAGGTTCATTGCTGTCCTTCATATCAGAGAGGTCTGCATCTAAAACAACAATGAAGATTAGATGGCCTATGTATTATATCTGAGGCCAACAGGTATTTCATTTAAATCTATCAAGACTCAAATCTTCTCAGAAGACATTCAGAGAACCTTCTGGAGTCTCATACTACATGGTGGGGTGGGAAGTAAAGAATTCACAGATAAGTTTTACTATCACTCTAAGCCAGAACTCAATATAGATAATCATGTTTGTGCATATAGATCTTAGAACTGGAGAGGAGTAGGAGAAGGGGAGAAAAGAGTGCTGTCTTTCCATCTAGAAATAATGTAAAATCCGATGATCATTATTAAGGAAACACGTCTAACCTTACAGAGTATTCATCAGTAATAATTATATCTCCAAATACTCATTCATTATTAGATTATAAGCTCTACAAGAATAATGCATCTGTATTGCAACCTATCATTTTTCCCAACTCCTAGCATAGAGTCTAGCATGTTAAGTAATGAAAAGCATATCTGTTGAGTGAATAATTTAATGCTATTCATCATTTATAAAGGGAGAATGTCCGTGTAGATCTTCCAAGATATCCTGTTTACTTCTTTCTTCTATATTATGCTTTTTAAACATTAAAAAAATGTTTGGGAAAAACTTCAAATATGTGTTCCATTCTCACCTCTTGCTCCAATCTTGCTTTAAGATCTAGGCAAGATATTTTCTGGCATTCAGTATCAGCAATATGCATTTCATATTATTTCAGTTTTATTAATTTGTACTTTTAGATCTTTTTGAATGCCCCAAAGCAACTAACATTGACAGTTACTGTAATCAATAAAATTTTATAATTTATTGCTCAAAGCAAATTGAGGCAGTTACTTATATTTTATTCATTAAATACTAGTCTCTTCAAATTACGTGTAAAAACCTTGACATTGAAAAAAGCTTCATCTTTATTTTTTTAAGTCTTACTATGTTTTTACTTAATGATTTTATTTCCATTTTCTCCTGTTCTTTAAGAATGTAAAGTTTCCATACAATAATGCTAACAACATATAACCATTTATTGAGTACTCAGTATTTGTTAAGCATAATTGTTTCATTTATTTGAGAGGTAGTGATCTTCACCTTACACATAAGGAAGTTAAATTACTATTTTAAGTTATATGTATGCATACACGTGTGTGTGTTTACTTCAGGTTCAGCTCTAACAAAATAACGACTTAAAGTTAGACTTTAATTATAAGTTATGTCAAAATTTCATGTGACAAGCATTCAAAGGTAACCCAGAGAAAGAAGCAATTACCTACAGCAGACGAAAGAAGAAAAGCAGGATATTAACTAACTGTAATTGGCACTGGTTGTAGTACTCACTTATTCTTGTAAAGCTTAGACAAGTCGAGTTTATTGCCATGGTGCTCATGAGGAAAAAAGGGAATAAATACAATTCTAAAGATTTTACAGTTAGAAGAACATTAGAATCTACTTGATTTGAATACTTAAGTCAGAGATCCTCAAAATACCTAAACATAATATTTCTTTAGATAGCAGTAGGAACCATATTATAATAACACTAATGTATTTAAGTAATCTATTAACATCAAAATTGGTTATTGGTTACTGCATAATTTTGGACCTTATTATCTCACTAGAACAACTGCAATCAGCTCCCTGTTTGTCGTGTTGTCTTCTCATCAAATGGTCCCCTTTATAGTTCTAGGATGAAGCTCACTGATCTGGAAAGTTGCTTAATAAAGCAGAAAAAAGATAAATTCATTGGTTAGGACATGGATCTCTGGGTTAAGAGTCCTGCTCTGCTACTAAGTAGTTGATTAGGTTCAGTAAATTTCTTGATTCTTTCTTTCATCTTTCTCATCTATTAATGGAGATATAATGGCACTCAAAAAATGTTAACCAGTTAGCCATTGTTATGAGTTGTAAAGGGAGTTAACTACTATGTTCATGAATCTTATGCTCTATTTTTATTTTCAAGTTACCATCAAATGAAAATGTTGGAGTTTGCTTATGTCTTTAGCAAATGGTGGACCCAAACTCTAATACCTGGAAGAATTTCCACATTCAAATTAATCTGAGCAGATGAAAGGATACAAGAGAACGAACTTGTCCTCCTATGTAGGAAGGTCTTATAGACATAAATATATTTTCCCCACAGGTGAAAAAGGATTGTAAGGAAGTGACATCTTTTCCCCCCCATCATCACAAATGGTTTTCTAACCAAAATCCTTTCTGTTCCATTACAACCACACTAGCTCAAGATCTGAGACCTAACCTGGTATTGCAAACAAGGTGGATTGACTGAAGACAATATGGGAAACTAAGAATTTAGTGCAATAATCCACACAGAGTCTTCATCGCTGTCTTTTTGATGTTTTATATTACAATGGGATAAATTCCTTTAGAATTTACTATCTGGAACAGCTTGGTCCTAGGAGAGAATTATTCTTATTTTCCATTTATCCAAGAATTAGGTAACTAACTTCATTTTCTATTTGCTCCTGTAGTCACAAAGTTCAGCCACAAGTTAATGCTAATTACAATACTATATGGAACCTAGGCAACTAAAACATTTGCTTCCTCTTCATTTTGTGTGACACGGATCCTCTGTTACATAAATTTCTATTTAAATGTTATTAAACGGAGAACTTTTTAATATGAGTTAACTTAAATGCTTTTTAGAAGCAGATCAAGTATTTAATCAATTACTTTTAAAATAATTCATGTTGAAAACCTTATGGAGTTCCAACTCAAAAGCAAAACTATGCGTGAGGAAATCTGTGACATTTCTTTTTATCATTTCACAAAATGAGCTGTACATTTGGACGTAACAAAAGGGATATCCAAACCTCAGAGTATAGGATATCTCAAGGGGTTTTAAATAAGAACAGAGCTTGGGAGCCAAAAAGATATTTAGCTCTCAGGCAAAAGGACAGCAAAAACCTCTGGGCACCATGGCCTCCCACTTCTCTCACAACAAATGAATAATAATCATTGTTTCATTGTAAAATCAAGTTGCCAGCCTTATAAAACTTGGTATATATAAAAGGCTTTTCAAGTTCAGTGGAATATAACCTTATTGTAATAGCACCCTGAAACAAACAATTTGGCTATAAGTTCTGTCAGAATAAATTATGCTTTTAAATGTACCATTATTATCATTATAGTTTTTTTTTAAAAAAATAAATTATATACAAAATGTTACCATTCTTCTAACTTTAGATTTGTATGGCATGTCAGAATTACATATAACACCTTGAGGTAATATAAAGACCATTGCTTTTTGGAGACAAAACTACTTAGAATCTAGCTATGTGACTTCAGCAAGTTATTTAAAGCTTTCTAAGCGTTCACGTCTTCAAAAACGGAGCTAACAACACCTTCTTCAAAAGTGTGTGTGAAAGTGTTAAGCATGCAGTAGCCTCTCAATAAATATTAGTTTCCTTCTTTACTTCATTTCAGTAAATTCTAAAATAGCAAATATCCCCTGATAGCATCAACCTTTTAGGAATCTCATCTTTCTTAAGTAAAAAGGAAACAAAAATTTTACTCAAAGGAACACAGGGCATATATATTATTTCATGTACCTGTATTAAACTACACACTAGAACAAGATGATAGCAAATTCAATGTTTACTGGAATACCAGTAACCATATTAACAACAGCCACAGTTAAGGTCAGGGATCTAAAAGTCAAAATGATCATATGAAACCAAACCACACCACACCACACCACACCAAAACACTGCCACAACAAAAAGCCATTTTTCATGGACAAAATGTTGATGTGGCTTTGGCAGCTATCTTTACTTCCTAATTCCAATGTAATTTCACACATAAGTTTCCATACATTTGAAATAATAAAAAAACGCTTACAAACCTAGCAAAGACACATCAGCAATGATGAAGTATCCCCCATCAGGAACTATGGGTTTTAGGCCAAGACTTTCAAGTAAATGTATCATCCGATCTCTTTTTATTTCTAACTCTTTTGGCAAAGAATTAAAGTAACACTCTGGGTCATCCATGCGCTTGATGTCAATCCAAAAAGCTTGAGCCAAGGCTTCCTGCATGTTAAGAATGAAACATGTGGAAAGGAAATACAGTAATGTTATTTATTGCTGAGTTTACTGGTGTGATAAAGACTGCCCTAAGTGACATTATTGAGAAAAAAAAAAAAGTCATTCACAGAATTATAGTTGAATTTCTAAGAACCTACATTAGATTGCATTAATGGAGGAACTGGCTACATGTAAGTGATTAAATTTAATGTGAATAACTGAGAATTAGTCATGACGATGCAAATTAAAAAAGAGGTACTGTAGGGGCACCTGAGTGGCTCAGTCGGTTACGTGTCCGACTTCGGCTCAGGTCATGATCTCACGGTTGGTGGGTTTGAGCCCTGCATCGGGCTCTGTGCTGACAGCCAGCTCAGAGCCTGGAGCCTGCTTCAGATTCTGTGTCTCCCTCTCTTTCTGACCCTCCCCTGCTCACGCTGTCTCTATCTCTCTCTCAGAAATAAATAAAACATTAAAAAATTTAAAAAAATTTAAATTAATTAAAGATCTCTAGATGAAGAGATTATGTTGGATTATTCACAGGCCTAATACAATCACAGGGCTCCTTGTATGGGAAAGAAGGTAGCAGGAGAGTCAGAATCATGTTAGAGTGATGTGGCCACAAGCCAAGGAATGTGAGCAGCCCCTAGAAGATGGAAAAGACTAGGAACAAATTCTCCCTTACAACCTCCAGAAGGAACACCAGAATGGAGACACCTTGTTTTTAGACTTGTAAGACCCATTTCAGAGTGTTGACCTCCAGAACTGTCAGATTAAACATCTGTGTTGTTTTAAGCCACTAAGTTTGTGGTAATTTGTCACAGAGAAATGGGAAACTAATGAAAAATTCATATAATATTGAAATGTTTGGCTTAGACCATGGTTTATTTAATTAATTGCCTATAGATGGATACTGACCATCCCCTATCTTTGGCAATAAATGGCCAGACACACACAGAGCTTCTTATGTATCCGATAACAGCAATAGGGTAAACTCCGGGGGATGGAGTACTGCTTTGGAACACAGGCACATCTATAATTTTGCTTGGTGTTGTCACTGTCCTTCACAGAGTCTGTTCTACTTTGCAATCCCACCAGTGTTCAAAGCTAAAACTTAATGTATTTAAACAAACTAAAAAACCATTCTAACACCTTGAGCAAAAGACCATGCTTCAACCCCAAATTACCATAATACCTACCTGTAAGGGCGTAGCACAAGTATAAATGGTGTTTTGTTGAACTGTCTGTAAATGTTTTATCAAATGATTAGGACCAATGGATCAGCCAAGCTGAAAAAGGGAAGAATGAAAACAAATTTCCAAAAGCCAATCTAACTGTATGTATTGAATCTAATTGAGTAGCTGTTTACTGTAATCATTAAAAAATTTTTTTAAATGTTTTATTTATTTCTGAGAGAGAGAGAGCATGAACAGGGGAAAAGGTCAGAGAGAGAAGGAGACACAGAATCTGAAACAGGCTCCGGGTTCTGAGCTGTCAGCACGGAGCCCGACATGGGGCTTGAACCCATGAACCGTGAGATCATGACCTGAGCTAAAGTCAGGTGCTTAACCGACTGAGCCACCCAGGAGCCCCTGTAATTATTATTATATATATGTAATTCTTAAATGTTCACTGTATGAAAGAAGTGCAGTATTAGTATTTGCTCATCATTTCAACTCTGTCCTTCTTTGGGAAAGTTTCTCACTGGAGTCACTAAACTCTGTCTTCAGAAAGTAAATAGTACCCACAATCATTACTATCCTTTTCTTTTCTTATTCATAACTTCTGATATCCTGAAGGTCTAAAAACTCATAACAAAGCTTATTTGAATTAGAAAAAAAAAAGTAACTCTGAATGAAGGCCTAAGGGACTCTTCCATAATTTAGTTCTGCAGGCCCCTTTTTTGATACTCCCTGCTTCTCGGCCATGTTTGGGATGGGCCCAGTTGGAAGACAGTCAAGTTTCGATTGGGTAAATTGTTAATGTATTACATAGTGCAGTGCTTAGGTACATAAATTCTCATGCTGTATTGCCTGGCTGGCTTGACTTTATTAGCAGTATAACCTCAGGCAACTTACTTAACTTCTCTTACTAATTTTATTGTCTATAAAATGGGGATAATAAAGTATACTCACTTCATAATGCCATTATGAGAATGAGCATATATAAAGCACTTAGAACCTGGTATACAGTAAGTGCCAAAATATTAGCTATTTTTATGTATTATATTTCCCCCCTTTTGTATTAATGTGCAATAATCTGAACATTATTTAAAAAGAAGAGTCCCATTGATTGGTTATTTATAAAATGAAAAATTGCTATTTTTCTGCCACTTGCAATGACCCGGATGGAGTTAGAGTATTATGCTAAGTGAAATAAGTCAGAGAAAGACAAATACCATGTGATTCCATATGTGGAATTTAAGAATCAAAACAAATGAGCAAAGGAAAGAGAGAGAGAGAGAAATCTAAAAAATGGACGCATACCTAGAGAGAACAAACTGAGTACTAGTGGACAGGAGTGGAAGTGTGGGGGGATGGGTTAAATAGGTGATGGGGATTTAAGAGGGCACCTGTGACGAGCACTGGGTGTTGTATGAAAGTGATGAATCACTAAACTCTATACCTGAAACTAATATTACACTGTATGTTAACTAACATTTAAATAAATAGCTTTAAAAAAATAAATAAATGAGGGGCGCCTGGGTGGCCAGTCGGTTAAGCGTCCGACTTCGGCCATGAGGCCGAAGGTGAGGTCATGATCTCAGTTTGTGGGTTCGAGCCCCGCTTTGGGCTCTGTGCTGAGAGCTCAGAGCCTGGAGCCTACTTCAGATTCTGTGTCTCCCTCTTTCTGACTCTCCCCTGCTCACACTGTCTCTCTCTCAGAAATAAATAAAAACATAAAAAAAAATAAATGATTAGGTCTCAAAAAAGAGAAAGGCCAACATGAAAGCTGAATGAGTAAGTAATAAGCAAATGATTAGTAGGTACAAAAACTTGGGTAAACTGACTATACATGTATTTAAAACACACACACACACACTCTCTTTCTCTCTCTCTCCCCAAGAAATAAAACACATGCCTGTTTTTAAGCAATTATTCTTTTGCATCTTACCTTCCAGCCAGTTACACTGAAAGTCTTTCCGGCACTTCCTATTGTTATTGTTCTCTCCCACATACCTGGAAATGTAGCTAAACCGGAAAAGGAAAAAAATAAGGCTAAATAATTGCTTTCCAATCAATCTATATACAGTATAACTTAAAAACATAAATGTATGTAGTATAGTATAGTCAGGAGATTTCAATAGGTTTTTAAAATATAATGTAACTTTAACCCAAACACAGTTGAAAATGTTAAAGTGCCTGAAAACACTGTATAATATGTGATAGATTAAATAATGTTAAGTAGCAAAATCATTTCCAGGGCCAGGGGTGGCAGAGGTGCCAGTTGGCAGCGTTGCGTGCAGTGGCCGCACAGCCATGGTGTGGCACCCAGCGCTCAGGGTCAGCGGTAGCTGTGTTCAGTATACTGTACTCTTCCTGTGGTGCCATTTTGATTGTGGTCCTGGCCATTGTTACTCCCCTCTATTCTGCCCATTTTCTGAGTCTATTTCTGTAATATCCCTAAGAGAATGTTTCTTAAAATGTGGCTTTCACACCAGAACTAGCGGAATCGATGGGGAACTTGTAAGGAAGGCAAATTATTGGACCACATCCTAGACCTCACTCACTCGGGTGGGTGGGCTCCATGATCTGTGTGTGCATGCATATGTGCGTATGTACGTGTTGTTTTGCTAACAATTTTAAGATATAAACCCCACACCATAAAATGTACTTATTTAAATGGTCTAATTCAATGGTTTTTAGTATATCTGCAGAGGTGGGCAACCAGTTTTAGAACATTTTTCACCCTAAAAGCCCATACCTTTTAGGCATCACTCTTCAATACCTCCATGGCCAATAGCACTAGAACTTGTGGTCTGAATGGAGTTTATTTGGCATATGTATTCTCTCCATAATGCACACCACAGCATGTCAGCACTGTGCTACGGGTCTATTTTAAACAGCAAAACCACCATGGAAAGGACGCTTGTTTACAGTATAAGCTGAAATAAGAAGGCACAGTGTTGCCTTGCTGACCTCAACTGAGAATATGCATATCTGGTGACTCAAATTTTTTGTCCCTCTTGGCACATCTGTGAATGAAGTGCTGTGAGTATTGACTTTGGAGTTACAAATATATATCAGCAAGTAGATGATTCACAAATATGGATTCCATAAATAATGAGAAATGACAGTATAAAGGTTTTCAAGTGACTGACATCTTAAATAAAATCATTCATTCATGTACTCATTTACTTATCAAACATTTATTACCAATGACCAGATGCCAGGGACTAAGCCAGGTCTAAAGGAAACAAAGATGAGAAAGAAGCAGTTCCTATCTTTGAGTTCCTATCTTTGTCTAGTGGGGGCAGGAGAAAAGTAAAACAGGCGTAATAGACCTGGAAGACCACGTAGAATTCTGCCAGTCAGAGAAGGGGAGGAAAAGTATTTGGGGCAAAGGGAATGCAGGTAAAGTCATTGAAGTATAAAATGCAAGAGCTGTGGGGCGCCTGGGTGGCTTAGTCGGTTAAGCGTCCGACTTTCGCTTAGGTCATGATTTCACGGTTCGTGGGTTCGAGCCCCACGTCGGGCTCTGTGCTGACTGCTAGCTCAGAGCCTGGAGCCTGTTTCAGTCTGTGACTCCCTCTCTCTCTGACCCTCCCCTGCTCATGCTGTCTCTCTCTCTCTCTCCTACAAATAAATAAAAAAAACAAAACAAAAAAAAAACATTAAAAAAAAAATGCAAGAACTGTGAATTCTGCCCACATTGGTAAATTATTCCCTTGTTAATCTTCTGAGAGTGCTACCTATGCTATTCTTTGTTCCTTTTTTTTTTTAACATGTATTTATTTTTGAGAGAGAATATGAGCAGAGGAAGGGCAGAGAGAGAGAGGGAGACACACAGAATTGGAAGCAGGCTCCAGGCTCTGAGAGCCCGACACGAGGCTTGAATTCATAAACCGTGAGATCATGACCTGAGCCCAAGTTGGTGCCTAACTGACTGAGCCACCCAGGTGCCCCCCTATGCTGCTCTTTGGATTCCTCAAGTAGTTTAGTTGTGAAGTTCTTCACATGCAATGCCATGAGTTTTTCACTTGTTTTCCAGAGGTACAAAAGATACTCTTGTATTGTTCTAAGAGTGCTAGTATACATAAAGAGAAAACAAATAGCCATTTTTGTATGGCCTAACCTACTTCTTAATCTTCTCATACACAAGTCAAGTGCCTACTAAAATGTTAGAAAGAAATTTCCAAAATGGACTTATATGTAATCTCAGTCCACTGTGAAATACCTGCCAATATTTGTAAAGGTACGAAAACTACATAAATTAGGAAGTTATAATTGTATTCTCTGTCAAGTAGAACAAAAACCAAAAATAATAAATGAAGAAAATATTTAGAGAGTCAATTCAAAGAAGGAATATTCTAACACTTGATATAAATACCATAAGTTTTGAGACATTTCTAGTTTCCAAAGAATTCCAAAAGAATACCATGACACATGTTCCACTTTCCTATTTGGCCAGAGAAAAATCTAAACTATGTATAATGCAGAGCATCGCCTCCTTCAAAGTAATAACATATATCCAAAACTAGGAAAGTCTATTAGTAAAAACAATATTTAGAAATAAGTTCTTTGAGGGGTGCCTGAGTGGCTCAATCAGTTAAGCATTTGACTTCTGCTCAGGTATGATCTCACCATTCCCAAATTCCAGCCCTGTGCTGACAGCTCTGAGCCTAAAGCCTGTTTCAGTCAGATTCTGTGTCTCCTTCTCTCTCTCTGCCCCTCCCCTGCTCATGCTATATTTCTCTCACTCTCAAAAATAAACAAACATTTAAAAACATTAGAAATAAACTCTTTGAAATTCAGAATTACCCAGAGAAATGAATACAATCCTAATGTGTATACATAAGTTATATCCAAAGGAAATGAAAACTACTCACATGCCAAATGTAGGTTTCATTCACAAAACATCAATGTAATATATAGGTATAATATTTTTTTGAAAAGAGCTAAGCAATTTTGATGGCTTTTTTAGCCATTTAAAAAAACGGATGTCTTTTTCCAAGCAGTAAGCTGATTAACTGAATAACTTACAAGGAATTTTATACTATTTGTCTAAATGCCAAAAGATTAGTATATCAATATAAATGTATTAATATATCTTTTTTCTAGGAGAGGTTTCTTTTGTTGACTGACATGTCATTTTACAGAAACCCAGAGACATCATTTGAATCAAAACTCTGATCCAAGAACAAATTCTACTACTTCAATATAAAGGGTCCTAAGGAATTTTTTTTAAACATCTGGATGTTCATGTCCTTTCCATCTAAGAGACTTGGGGAGCCACAGAAATCAAAGCAAACAGATAAAACAGAAGACCATAGCACTGTGTGTGAATCTACGAGGGGAAAAAAGTCTTTGCATGTCTGATTATTTTTAAAAAATGGTACCTAAGAGTGCCTGGCTGGCTCAGTTGGTCGAGCATGCAACTCTTGATCTAAGGGTTGTGAGTTCAAGTTCCACACTGGGCGTAGTGATCACTTAAAAAAACAACCTAGGGGTGCTTGGCTGGCTCAGCTGAAAGAGCATGTGGCTCTTAGTCTCGAGGTTGTGAGTTCGAGGCTCATGGTGGGCATAGACATTACTTACATGAATAAATAAAAATGTAAAAAAGAAAATTAATACCTAGTATTAGGTTTGTGTTTATATCTGAAAGGCAAGTGGCCTTTGCACTTTTTATTTATGACCCATGATCCTTAAATGGGCTGCAGCAGCAATAACAGTGATTTATAGGTGGCTTAGGCTTCAACAGAAGTCAGATAAAGATTACAGACAGGAGGAAGAATGCTACCCCAGGGAAAACGGCCTCAGTGAAAGCATAAGGATGATGCTAATTCATCCTTTATTGTGTTATATTAAAGAACTATCACACTCTGCAGATTGATGGAATAGCCACTTTGCATCTTTTGTGTAACAAAGTCCACTGTATTTGATATAATACCTAAGTTTTCATGGAACCAAACCACTCTCTAAATAATGATATAGCGAATTTATTTATTTTTTCTTGTTATAACTTTATGGGCTGTTATAACAACTAAAATATCTGAATTAAAAATATAGGCCTTGGGGCATCTGGGTGGCTCAGTCAGTTAAGCATCCAACTTCAGCTCAGGTCATAAACTCACGGTTTAGGAGTTCAAGCCCTACATCGGGCTCTGTGCTGACAGCTCAGAGTGTGCAGCTTGCTTCGGATTCTTTGTCTTCCTCTTTCTCTGTCCCTCCGTCACTCACACTCTGTCTCTTTCTCTCAAAAATAAATAAAGATTGGGGTGCCTGGGTGGCTCAGTCAGTCAAGCGTCCAACTTCAGCTCAGGTCATGATCTCGCAGTTCATGGGTCTGAGGCCCGTGTCAGGTTCTGTGCTGACAGCTCAGAGTCTGGAGCCTGTTTCAGATTCTGTGTCTCCCTCTCTCCCTGCCCCTCCCCCACTTGTGCTCTGTCTCTCTCTTTCTCAAAAATAAACTATAAAAAAATTAAAATAAAGATTTAAAAAATTAAAAAATATCTTTAGCAAGTAGTATAAGTTACATTTTACTGTGAAGGGTTTATCATATAATATGCAGTTTAAACAATAAAGGTCAAACAATAACTCTCAAGATCATTGGAAAAATATTGCTAAAGTTAGTTAACTAAAACTAAGAACTAGAGACATTATCACTTAGGAACATTTGTGTTGAGTACAAAATTATATTTATTCATGAGATAGATGCCTCTTCCTCTAATTGTTAAAAACTACAAAAAAGGGGGGCGCCTGGGTGGCTTAGTCGGTTAAGCGTCCGACTTTCGCTTAGGTCATGATCTCGCGGTTCGTGGGTTTGAGGCCCGCGTCGGGCTCTGTGCTGACTGCCAGCTCAGAGCCTGGAGCCTGTTTCGTAGTCTGCGACTCCCTCTCTCTCTGACCCTCCCCTGCTCACACTGTCTCTCTCTCTCTCTCTCCTGGAAATAAATAAAAAAAAACATTAAAAAAAATAAAAATTAAAAAAAACTATAAAAAAGGGAAACCTAGGTGGCTCATTTGGTTAAGTGTCTAACTTTGGCTCAGGTCATGATCTCATGGTTTGTGAATTCAAGCCCAGCAACAGGCTCTGTGCTGACAACACGGACCCTACTTGGGATTCTCTCTCTCTCTCTCTCTCTCTCTCTCCCTCTTTCTCTCACTCTCTCTTTCCCTCCCTCCCCACTGCCCACTCTCTCTCTCAAAATAAATGAATTTAAAACCTTTTTTTAATTACAAAAAAATAATCATTTGTCTATGTTGATCTCACTTTTGCCTGGAACAGTTCAATGACCTGAAGCAGAGGTCATCAACAAGAAAAGTGACTGAAGGCAAACGCTGATGCAGTTGTGAACTGCAAGAGCAGTTTGCTATGCTGAGGCACCACACCTTGCAAATCTCTGGCTGCCTTCTCTGTTTATCATTTCTCCCTGAGAAAATCCTCTTCCATGGGTTCCAGCCCCAACAAAATTTTGATGACTGCCAAAACTCTTTCCCCTCATAATTTGGTCCTGACTGTCAGGCCTATCATTCCACTTGTTTCCGGACATCTTCCCTTCTAGGTCTCACAGAGACTGAAACTTAGCAAGACTAAAGGAAGCATGAGAGGCAGGAATATTCCTTACTCCCCATAGATCTGCACCTCCTCTGTACATCCCCACCTCTGCTTATGGGCCTCCCCTCTGAGGGGGCCGGGCCAGAGACCTCAGAATCATACAGGCTGGGTCCCTTCCCACTTCAAAATGCTACACTCTGCCCTACTGTTTTGACTTCTAAATAGCCCACATGTGTCAACTCCACTGTTAGGGCATCTAACTCACTTCAAGTCCTCACCTGTAAGTGGTTCTTACCTTAAATAAACCTAGTCACGGAACTCATTCCCGTCTTGGCATGCCTCTTGAAGGAGTTCTCAAAGTATGCTTCACTGGAATTTTGGTGATCAAATTGATGTGTAGAATTTTTTTTACAAAATCAATCTTAAGTTTTCTTCCATGTATTTTTTAAGCACTTAAAGTACTACCATTTATCTGATAGTGTATGCTACCAACAGTGAAACAAATGAACATTTAGCAAGTGGCAACATCAGAAAAGTGCTGATGTGTTTATTTCGATGGATCTTTTTGACAAAAGTGCACAGAACTGGGACCTTTATATTGACTTCTTCTAATTATTAAGTTTCTATTAAGAAAATTGCTTGTAGTTTCGGGATGGAAAGCAATGTGTCCCTATTTCATGATGTGAACATTGTGGCTTGAAGGTGCTCTACACTAAAGTGAGTTTCAGAACCACTGGGCTCCTCAACAAGTTTAAACTTTGTTCTCATAATCAAGACTGTCAGAGTTATTCTACTTTCCCATTATCATCTGTGCCTGTTATAACACATCTCTATAAACCACTTGCCCTAACCTTAAGTATATCTTGATCTGTTAAGATATACTTGCCTCAGTCCATGTTAGTTTATCTGATAGGGATTTTCTTTCTACCTCTCTGCTCAACAAATTCCATCTTTTGCCCACTCTGTTGATCTCCTCAAGCAGCTGCTTTGTCCTCCATATTTCTACACTTCATAACGTACAATAGGGATAATTATGACATCGGCAACAACTATTTATATGCATGTGTGATAATTAAAAAAATTAATATTTTTGAGACAGAGAGGTAGAGTGTGAGCGGGGAAGGAGCAGAGAATGAGGAAGAAGCAGAATCTGAGGCAGGCTGTAGGCTCCGAGCTGTCAGCACAGAGCCTGACATGGGGCTTGAACTCAGGAACCATGAGAACATGACCTGAGCTAAAGTCGGAAGCTTAACCAACTGAGCCATCCAGGTGCCCCAACAAGTGTGCTAATTTTTTTATTTACTGATTTCTGCTACAGTGATTTTAGTTTTACTTTCCTTATCTTTTTCATATTTCCTATTCATTTATTCATCAATTACTTTCTGATTATCTAACATGTGCACAATCCTATCCTGGAAATTGTGGATTCAGATGTCACTAAAACAAACAAATATCCCTATGTTCCAGCAGGTTAGAAGTAAACTATACAGGTCTTGATATATATTATAATAGAAAAAACAAAACAGAGCAGAAAATTTTTAAAAAAGCAAAGCAAATTCTGGAAGAAAAACTTATAACTATCTTAAATGTGGCCATAAAAACTGGTATCTGAATAAAGCCCTGGGGAGCCTGAGCCATGTGGATATCTACAGGAAAAGTGTTTCCAGGCACAGAAAGGGCAAATGCAAAGACCCAAAGCCTGCAAGCCAGTATGTAGTCTAATAGCTGATACCAGTTCAGATAACCCCAGAAGACACTGAGGCACTTGTGAGAGAGATGGCCGGGTAGTAATGACAAAATCTCAGGCAAGAGCCAAGCAGCACTAGCTCACTCGCCCTGCAATTTTCTCCTGCTGACTTGGCATCTGGCAACTTGCTCAGCGGAGACAGGCAGCTTGGGAACAAGTAAGCTCCCTGTACCTTATGGACCATGCAGTAGATGCATTCTTGATAAAGAGCCAAGGATATAGGCAAAAGTATGACTTCTCTGGTTTCCTAGCTTTATAGTATGATCCAAAAATCTCTTCCCCGAAGCTTATACTGCTTGTCCCTCAGTCTGTTTATGAATTCACTCAAGCATCATTTACCCAAATCCCATTTAAGTGTTCATACAGACAGATACCCATTGCAAGGACTATTTTAAAGCTGTTCTGGGATGCTTTCCAATCAGATGTTCCACATGTGCCCAAACACATTTAGATTTGTGACTCTATGTAATAATCAGTACCTATTTTTACATGCTTATTTCCAGTATATACAAGCCATTCATAAACCTCATCACTGATGCATAGTGTGTCATATTTGATGCAAAGGTCAGCAATTACTTGGAGTTCTTCTTTGGTATATACCTATATGTATTAAAGAAAACAGAAGAGCAGAGCCAATTATGATTCAGCATGTGAGAAAATGATAGGTTGGAAGACTGTATAAAGAGATCAAAGACTCACCTTGCCAATGGGGTTATGTGGAGTGTTTAGTATAATAGCTTTGGTTTTGGAGTTAAATTTACTTGCCAGTTCTTGAGGATCCAATGTCCAGTCAGAACTAGACCATTTTTTCCCATCGACAGGTTTCTAAGTATGAAGAATCAAGATGTGATTTAATTCAATAAATTCATGTTACAAATAAATAACCTAATTGGGGGAGAAAACAGAGAAAGGCATGGCAAAGGTAACTGAATAAATGACTAACAAAGAAAATAACTAAGCTTTCATTCTGCCTTAAGAGCCCAAGAGGACTTAAACCTCATGGTCACACCTACTAAAGGGGAAAATAAACTGTCAATATAAATGGCTGTTAAAGTATGTACAGTCCTTCAAAGGAGCCAGCTATAACTATAGTTAACATGTCTGGTACTGTAACATATCTTGCTAATGCAAGATTCTGTGATTCACCTCAGTGTATTACTCACTTTAGTAAGATTTAAAAAAAAAATTTTTTTACTGTTTTATTTATTTCTGAGAGAGATAGCGTGAGCAGGGGAGGGTCAGACAGAGAGGGAGATACAGAATCTGAAACAGGCTCCAGGCTCTGAGCTAGCTGTCAGCACAGAGCCTGACGCAGGGCTCAAACCCACGAACTGCGAGATCGTGACCTGAGCCAAAGTCAGAAGCTTAACCGACTGAGCCACTCAGGAACCCCAGTAAGATTTTTTAAAAAGACAATAGTAGCATACTTATTAAATTCCTGAATATAATAGCAAAATTTAAAGAAAAATTACTTGATTCAAAATTCAACAAGCATTTATAGAGCACCCAGCATATACCCTACACTGTCAGCTAATGGGGAGCAGTGCTATAAAAGTGAGTTAGAAACGGTCTCTGGGGTGCCTGGCTGGCTCCGTTGGTGGATCATGAACTTCTTGGTCTCAGGGCTGCAGGTTTGAGCCCCATGTTGGGTGTAGATTACTTAAATAAATCTTTAAAAAAAAAAAAGAGGGGCACTTGGGTGACTGAGTCAGTTGAGCATCTTACTCTTGATTTCAGCCCAAGTCTTGATTTCACAATTCATGAGTTCGAGCCCCGTATTGGGTTTTGAGCTGACAGCATGGAGCCTGCTTGGGAGTCTCTCTCTCTCCCTCTCTCTCTACCCCTCCCTGCTCCTGCATGCTCTCTCTCTAAATAAATAAACATTAAAAATTAAAAAAGAGGAGCACCTGAGTGGCTCAGTTGGTTAAGTGTCCGACTTTGGCTCAAGTCATGATCTCGCAGTTTGTGAGTTCAAGTCCTATGTCAGGCTCTGTGCTGACAGCTCACAGCCTGGAGCCTCCTTTAGATTCTGTGTCTCCCCCTCTCTCTCACCCTCCCATGCTCGTGTTCTGTCTCTGTCTCTCAATAATGAATAAAAATGTTTAAAAAAAAACTTAAAAAAAATTTTAAGAAGAAAGAAAGAAAGAAATGGTCTCTGATCTGGTGGAGACAGATAACCACAAAAGATAATGTTACGTATAGTGTGAATGTTGATACAACAGGGACACATGGCAAATACAGGATGAAGTAGTAACAGCTGCCCTCTTAAAGACGTTGATTACCTTCAGCCATGGTAGAGATACATAGTAAATCCCAAATGTAATAAAGTAGAAACTTCATCAGTGACAAAGCAATTCTGCATGTTTTTCAAAGCATCTTAAAGTATGTGTATCACATTGGCAAACTTACAAATCTCAGGGGAATAAAAACAGGTGTTGCTCCAGCCATTCTCACCATGGGCTCATAGCAGTCATAGAAAGGCACTATTATTATGACCTAAAATAAAAACCAAACAAGAACATATCGATCATTCGTTCATTTAAAATATACTGTGTGCCTAGTACGTGTGAGGCAGTATACTACATGCTGAGATGCAGCAAAGGAAAAGCTGGCCTTCCTTGCTTTCATGAAAGTGGGAAAGGCCATGGAAGAGGCCTTAGAGATACACATGTCCAGGGAGTTCTGAGTCTCTTAATGAGATTTACAGAAGGGCTTATAGTGGGGATTCTTGAAATTATATGCAAAACTTTATATATGCCTAGGTAGATTTTTCTGGCGAAAGAGGCCATAGCTCCCATCACATCCTCAAAGGAATGTTCCAGCCAAAAACATGAAGAATTTCTTTAGATTTTAAGTGACAAACAAACAAAAATATAAGAGAGGGACGGAAGCAAAAGGCTATGAGGAAAGATAATAGCATTCCTCTCCATTATGGAGTACTAATTTATAAGTATTATCCCGAGAATAAAGATGTTTCTGTTTGGTTAAAAGCACTCCAAAACAAAGAGTGGATGCAGGCAGACTAGTTAAGATGCTACTGTTATTGTCTGATGCCCCTAATTTCCCTCTGGTGACCTATATTTATCTAGATTCATTATTTTTCCCGGACCCGTGAGATATATTCCTTGTTCCTTTGCCCCTGCGTGCACTCTCTCAATCACCAGGGGGCTGGCTTTTAGGTCAGTGGGCCAATCCAACCAGTCCAGCTGGTAATCCACTCACAGAGTACCAGCCTGGGTCTAGCATCCCTGATTTTTTACTTTTCTATAAGAAAAGTCTGAACACATAATTTATATCCATCATATTCAATTTTATTATCTTTTTCAACCAAACAATATTACCTAAAAGTTTCACTTTATTACAGTTTTAATATTTATTATCGTAATGGCTATTTGGGAGTCCACTGAATTCTAAAATAAATTTTCATCATTTGCTTATATAAATAACAATGCTATGTTTATTTGTGAGTATGTATAGTTTCTCTATTTTAAAAAAAATGTTTATTTATTTATTTTGAAAGAGAGAGGAAAAAATGCAAGAGGGGGAGAGGCAGAGAGAGGGAGAGAGAGAATCCCAAGCAGGCTCCACACTCAGTACAATGTGGGGCTCGATCCTACAACCGTGAGACCATGACCTGCACCAAAATCAAAAGTCAGATGCTTAACTGACAGAGCCACCCAGGCACCCCTGTATTTCTCTATTTTTAAATAGTTGAGGGGCGCCTAGGTGGCTCAGTCGGTTAAGCGGCCAACTTCAGCCAGGTCATGATCTCATGGTTCGTAGGTTCAAACCCCGCGTCGGGCTCTGTGCTGACAGCCGGCTCAGAGCCTGGAGCCTGTTTCAGATTCTGTGTCTCCCTCTCTCTCTGACCCTCCCCTGCTCGTGCTGTCTCTCTCTTTCTCTCAGAAATAAATTTAAAAAACATAAAAAATAAATTGTTGAATAAATTCACATGATTGCTATTGCTAGATTAAAGAGTATAAACATTTTTATGGCATGTTATACATACATACAATCAAACTGCTTTAGAAAAATTGGTTAACTATATTTCACAAGTCAATACTAAGTTGTTTTACTTAACTTTTGTTGGCTAAATTAGTGATATCAACCGTTGCTTCAAAAAAATTTTTTTAATGTTTATTTTTGAGAGAGGGAGAGATACACACAGGGTGCAAGGATGGGAGGGGCAGATAGAGAGGGAAACAGAATCTGAAATAGGCTCCAGTCTCTGAGCTGTCAGCACAGAGCTTGATGTGCGGCTTGAACCCCCAAACCATGATATCATGACCTGAGCCGAAGCTGGACGCTTACCTGACCTAATCACCCAGGCGCCCCACTAACTGTTCTAAATTTGCTCTTTTTACTGTGTATTTCTTATGATGTGAAGTCACTCTTCAAAGCCTTTATCAGCAAAGCCATGTAAGGCCGTTACATTCTACTAGTCATTCAACTCACACAGAGCACCTACTATGCAATCTGCTATGTTAGGTGTTAGGTAATGTGAAGGACAAAGAAATGAACTTTTTTCATTCCTTTTGAGAATGGATTTCTCCCTCAAGGGAACTGTAAGTTCTTGATTAGTCTCTGAAATTCTCAGGGACCAAGATGACCTATCTTTGAACCCTGGTGAGAAATCTAGTACCTGATTTGAAGTGAGAGATATAAAAGAAAATAACTGGGGAGGCAGGGAGGTAAAATTGAAAGAATATACTTGACACTCTTGGCTGTAATTTATTTTTATGATGGGAATAATTCCTCTCTCTTTCTGAAGAGTATTTATTGAGCACTCAGTATTTTAGGGACTGACGGTACAGCAATAAACTGGTTCTCCTGGAACTTACTTTCTACTGTGAGAGACCATAAACAAGAAAACACGGAAGTAAATTAGATAATTTCAGATAGTATTAAACACTACAAAGAAAATGAAACAGGTCAATGTGACAGAAAGTGACATGTGTGTAATTTGAAAACATCAGATCCAGTGATCAGATTAGAAAGAATAAAGGTCATGAGCTGAGCCTCTGGGATGCCCCAGCAGAGTAGAGAAAGAGGAAGCAACAAAGGATTAACAACATCAAAGAATGAGATAAAACTTTCAACTATTTTATAGGATTAAAGGAGATTATGTATGTGAAAGTAACTGCACTTCCTTAAGATGTTTCCTTAAGTAGCTTATTGTTGGGCATAGTAGAAAAAATTAGAGACATAAGAGAGAAACATAATACAAAGTAATAGAGGTATCTTTTATGTAAGAGGTACAGATAAAGTGCCATGAGAGCTCAAAGAAAGGAATTAACAACATAGATCATGGTAAATATTCAGCAGTGCCTCTCTGGAGCTTCCGAGGCCTATATTAGCAGAGTCATCACTTTTTTCTGTCACTATTGTAAAATATGTACGTTTTACAATACTACTGACCATCACTACTGAGCATCACACACATTCCTATTCACCAGCCTGTGAGTCTATCTCCTCTACTAGACAGGGAACTCCTTCCACACAGAAACTGTCTTTTAAAAATCTCCCACAGTGTCTAGTATAGGAGATCCTCAGTGATTTCTGAATGAATGAAAGAGGTCAGGGAAATGCTGAAGAAGGGTATTGGAATAATAATGGGGAAAGAGTCCCAGTACTAAAGCAGAAATCACTCAGCCTTCTTGTTACACATCTCTCACATGCTGGTGATAACAGTGCTGGGCACAAAAACACACTGACCAAATACTGGCTGATTGAGTTCAGATAAGGGCGATTTTGGTGGTGCAGACTGAAGATTCATTGTCCCCATCATGGCTGGCCCCTTCCCCTTCCCCTTCTCTAGAGAGCCTATAGAAATAAGAAGGAGTCACATACAGCAAAACAGATGAATACCACAGACATATTGATAAATGAAAGAAGCCAATTCAAGAACATATTATGTGATGTGATTCCATTTATATCACATTAAAGAGCAGGTAAAATGAGCCTATGCCGATAAAAGACAGAAGAGTGGTTACCCCTGGTAACCCTGGTAAACTAAGAAGAGGCATAAGGGAGCCTTCTGGGTGCTGGGAATGTATTATATTTTCGTCTGGTTTGGGGTTACATGGATACATATACATATATTATACACATATATATGCACATATACACACACACTTATATACATATATATACACACATGTGAAAAATTTATCAGGTTGTACACTTAAGATCTGTGAATTTTACTCATAGGCATTACATTCCAAAACTAATTAAACATAGTGTAAAATAAGTAAAAGATTCAAAGGCAGTACAAATGATAATGATTGATATAGGTAAGATGGTAATGTTAATATACTTACTTCATCTCCCTCATCAATTAATCCTTGAGTGGCATTAAAAAGAGATCCATATGCTCCTACTGTCACAAGGATTTCATTATCTGGATTGATTTGATTTTGATACAATTTTTCATATAAGCAGGATAGAGCTTTCACAAGCGATGGATGACCCTGTTGAATAAAAAAAGAAAAAATCCTTGAATTTGATTATGGGATCTACTTCTTGGAGGTAATTTGGAACTAAACTGAAAGAATTTTTAAAATTTGAGTTTTATGTTTATAATTATCCAAGTAAAATTTGTATTTTTTACTGGAAATAAAAAATATTCTTTTCCCTACTCTCAGACAGTTCCTACATAAATTGGTCATGAAAACTTGCTAATGACTAAGAAATCCCTATTAAATGATTTGTTTGGAATTCAAAATTCCAACATATCTGCTTTGATAAACATTGACGTCAGTACCAAATATACCTTTGACAGTACCTTTCTGGACAGCAATCAAATCATATTTACTTTATTTTTGACAGTAAATAAATTACACTGAATAGAGTTGGACTTTTCCGCAATTAAAATAAAAGTGCCTGCATTGACTTCTATATATCCTGAATCTGGTCTTCCAGGTTACCAAAGAGTAGGTTATTATGTCAACCAATGAGCTACAGAGAGAGGGCAAAAGCAAATTCCCCAAAGAAACACCCATTAGTGTTGATGGGAGAGCTGATGTTAGGAGAAAGTAGGACATTCTTCATGGTATCCAAGAGGGGAGGAGTCATCCAAGAGAAAGCTTTCACCAGAGGAATGAAGGGACTATAATGCACAAAGTCTGAGACATGTGGGGAGTCTCAACTCCTTGAATAGCGCTTCCTCAATTATTCTCTTCTATGTTCTCTGCTCTTCCCTCCTTCTCTTTTTGTTCCCTTCCCTTTCCCTCTCTTTGTCTTATTCGGTATCAGTCAATGTTACTTATTTTTTCTTGTCTAGCATGTACCTCCTATTTTTGCTTTTGGAGAATGACCTTGATTTTCCATCAGTTCCAAATGAGAGTCCAAGCGCAGGGTGTGTGCCTTTGTTTGCAAAGCACCTGGGGCTCTGGAGGAATAAACCGGGTCAGGACACAGGACAAGAGGGCGGCTGGGAGGATGTACCCTATGTTTATGAAGTAAAGTAGCCTCTGCTCATCCTAAGTTATCCATCCAAGTTCGTATGAAAAGGAAGCATTTTTTTTCTTAATCATTTTTTTAGCGTTCTTGTTTTTTTTTTTACAAATAGTTTATTGTCAAGTTGGTTTCCATAGAACACCCAGTGCTCATCCCCACAAGTGCCCTCCTCCATGCCCATCACCCCCCTTCCCCTCCCACACCCATCAGTCCTCAGTTTGTTCTCAGCATTCAAGAGTCTCTCATGGTTTGCNCGAACTCAAACCTTGAGATCAGGAGTCACATGCACCATGGACTGAGCCAGCCAGGCGCTCCTCTAAACTTCCTTTATGAACATTGTTTTAAGTTTTCTGCTTAATTTTTTAAATAGTTTATTGTCAAGTTGATTTCCATATAACACCCAGTGCTCATCCCCACAAGTGCCCTCCTCCATGCCCATCACCCCCCTTCCCCTCCCACACCCATCAGTCCTCAGTTTGTTCTCAGCATTCAAGAGTCTCTCATGGTTTGCCTCCCTCCCTCTCCCCCACTATTTCCCCCCTTCTTCTCCCCCATGGTCCTCCGTTAAGTTCCTCCCAATCCTCCTATACGTGCAAACATATGGTATTTGTCCTTCTCTGCCTGACTTATTTCAGAAAAGGAAGCATTTTTTGTCAAAGTACTTTTGTCACTTTTGTCAGAATGTTAGCTAGTGTGTCACACATCCTCTCCCAGTTAAAATCAATAATAACAAAGCTATAGCACATTTTTCATATTTTGAGATTAGGAGATATTACAATATTAGAGAAATTGAGTATAACTAATAATAGGGGAGGTGACAGAGCACAGCCAGTAAACTAAAAAATAATAGTAAGAGAAAAGACTACTTAAATTCAAGTTCAAAAAATATACATGATTTGTGGAAAGAGCAGAAGATTTCCACTTCCAGAAATCTAAAATTTCCTTTGAATTTCTTTTTTAATAACAGGTCTAGCAAAGGGTGATCTGAAAGCAACTATAAACACTATATATCCTTCCTCAGAATTATGAGTCTGTGCTTTTAAAAAATTTTTAATTATAAAAATAATATATGCTTCATATCATATTTAAACCTAGGCAGAATCGTGTTAAAAAATTATGTTCCCTCCTCAATAACACTTTTATCCCATCTCCCTAAGGTGACTAATGTCGTCTACAGCCGGGTGATAGCACAACACCATTCCCTATGCTTATACTAACATACAAATACATATACATACATATTCACATGTATTTATAAAAACCTGAAAAATACTTAAAGAATGGGCATGGCTATGTTCTAATAAAACGTTATTTACAAAATCAGGAGTGGATGAGATACAGATAAAGGCCATAGGTCGCCAACTCCACTATGGATCAACTTAGAGAGTACTGACTACAATATTCTGTCTCCCAATCTGTTGAACATCACATATCACTCCATCTATATAGGTCTTGTTTAATGTCTCTTAGCAATGTTTTGCAGTTTTAAGTGAACTATAGATCTTGCATATATTTTAAAACTTCAGTTCAAATATTTAGTGCTTTGGGGATGCTATTATAAATGGTATTTTAAAAAATCTTACTTACCAGCTGCTTATTTTTAGTTTACTGAAATACAATTCATTTCTATATATTGGCCTTATGTTCTGCAACCTTGCTCAGTTCACTTAGTACGTTGTGGCAGTTTTTTGTAGACTCTAGGAATCTTTGGATATCCTAGGTATTTCATCACAAAAGGATAGGGACTGATAGAGAGGTAGAAAAGAAGAAAGTAACTGGTTGGAAACAGAAGATATTAACTAGAAGGCCACTGCTGACGGCCTAATAGTTGCATGTGTTAATGGCATAGAAAATATGTGCGTCAAGAGAATATTCTCTGCAAACAGGTGCAGTCACTGTGGAAGACAGTATAGAGGTTTCTCAAAAAATTAAAAATACAGTTGTAAATATAAATGCAAATCAATACTGAAATGAAATATCGCCTCACAGCTATTAGAATGGCGAAAATAAAAAACTCAAGAAACGACAAGTGTTGGCAAGGATGTGAAGAAAGGAACTACTGGTGTGAATGCCAACTGGTACAGCCACTGTAGAAGACAGTACAGAGCTTCCTCAGAAAATTAAAAACAGAGTTACCATTTGATCCAGTAATTCCACTGGATATTTACTCAAAGAATTTGAAGACAGTAATTTGAAAAGATATATGCACCCCTATATTTATAGCAGCATTATTTGCAATAGCCAAACTATGGAAGCAGCCCAAGTGTCCATCAAGAGATGAATGGAAAAAGAAGAGTTGGTATATACATATACATATATGTATATACACACACACACACACACACACACAAATGGAATATTACTCAGCTGTAACAAAGAATGAAAACTTGCTATTTCCAACAACATGGATGGAGCTGGAGTATAATGTTAAACAAAAGAAGCCAGTTAGAGATGGACAAATACCTTATGATTTTACTCACATGTGGAATTTAAGAAACAAAACAAACAAAGGAAAAAAGAGGGAGGGAGAGAGACAAACCAAAAGCCAGATTCTTAAATATAGAGAACAAATCGATCTGTTAGCAGAGGGGAGATGGGTAAGGGGATGGGTAAATAGGTGATAAGAGATTAAGAGTACACATACCACGATGAGCACTGAGTAATGTACAGAATTGCTGAATCACTGTACTGTATAGTTGAAGCTAATATAACACTGAAGTGTATAACAACTTAACTGTACTGGAATCTAAAAAAAACTGGAGGAAAAAAGGGTCCTTGTTGCCATTGGACCCTATGCTGGAACAATGGTAAAGAACCATGGAGGGGTTGGAAGTTGGGAATGGCTACTTCTAGGAGATAAGAACAAGGATGGGGGTTTCTCTGATTATCTGGTTGGGACAGTTGGTCCCAGAAAGGTAATTACACATGAGTGATAGGAGCTCACTTCACACTTCACACACAATATAATACAAACTACAAGTTCATGCCACACATGGTCTTAATCTACTCACAAAGCTTCGTGTATACTGGTTCAGGCTATCAATTGCTGCAATCTTTGATAATTCTTCCTTTACATATGTAGGAGGGGGTATATCCGGAAAGCCTTGGCCAAGATTCACAACAGAGGGGTCTGCAGCCAACTTGGTGAATTCAATCCTAAAATTAAAAAATACTAATAAGTACTGTAATTACAAAGTTAGCTTCTTATGCCTCATAATCTTTTTTCTTTCTCTAAAATGTAACTTATTTATTTTGAGAGAAAGATAGCGTGAGCAGAGTAGAGAGAAAGGAAGAGATAAAATCCAAAGCAGGCTCCGTAATGTCTGCACAGAGCCCGACGTGGCACTCGAACTCATGAAACTGTGAGATCATGACCTGAGCTATAAATGAGAGTTGGATGCTTAACAGACTGAGCCACCCAGGCGCCCCTTATACCTCATAATCTTAACATTAAAACTGGAAAACTAAGACCTAGTTTAGTCTCACAAATAAGAAAAAAAAAGAATTCCCCCCTCCAAAATTTTACCACCTACAAAATGACTTTACCTAATAAGATGATGGCTGAACTAATGAAGTTAAAAATTTCTTACAAATCTCAATTCCATGATACCCACAGTTCCATTATCTTTTTTTTTTTCATCAACCATATCAACGGCTGCTAGCTCACGGACTACAAAGTAAGTGCCATGCGGGTATCATCCAAATTTGTCCTTTTCTCTGCCTATTTGCTGGCTTAGCACAAGTGTAAAATGAATAAATCAGTGTATGGATCCTTAACTTCCTTACAATTTCACTTAATGAATACACTAAAATAAGTGCCTTTATTTGTAAACTGTACATGAGGCTAAAATTCCCAATATAGATGAATATATAAAAATGTATAGGAGAAAATCGTCAACAAATTATTATTGTTTACTCTGAGGTACTCACCACACATTACTATCAAGGCCTTCAATTCGTTTTGCATTGGTGATTTTCAAAGACATTTTCTGAAAGACATAAATATTGAAAGTGTTTTTAAATTTCTTTAATCAAAATTCAAAGGGCGCCTGCATGGTTCAGTTGGTTGAGCATCTGACTTCAGCTCCAGTCATGATCTCGTGAGTTCAAGCCCCATGATGGGATCTCTGCTATCAGCTTGGGATCTCTGTGTCCCTCTCTTTCTGCCCCTCCCCACTTGTATGTGTGTGTGTACTCTCTCAAAAATAAATAAAACATTTAAAAAAATTTCGGGGCACGTGGCTAGCTCAGTTAGGTATGCACCCGACTTCGGCTCAGGTCATGATCTCACGGCTCGTGGATTCGAGCCCTATGCTGACAGCTCAGAGCCTGGAGTCTGCTTCAGATTCTATGTCTCCCTCTCTGTCTGCCCCTCCCCTGCTTGTGCTCTGTCTGTCTGTCTCTCTCTCCTTTTCAAAATTTTCAAAAATGTCAGAAAATCATGGGTAACTCTACCTTTTCCCTATTGCAGGGAAAAAGAAATACCGTAATGACAAATGCTAAGTGCAGGGAGAGGAAGCCCTCTCCCACCTACTGCCCTAAGGAGTGCTTTAACTTAGGAACTTAGATGTTTACCTTCTCATGTTAGAACAGAAATATCATCCTAGCCTAAAAAAATAAATGGATTTGAAGGCCTGAAATCTACTGAAGAGAACAATAATGATACTAAGAAAAAAGTCAGTTTCAAAAAAAATACCTTGAGTCATTCTCTGAAGATGATTTTAGGTAAGATGTATGAACAGCTCCACAGGTGTGGCATATAGGAAGCACTCAACAAATTGTTTTAAAACTCAATACAGAGCTCCAAATAATAAGAGCTCACATTATTGAATACTGACTACAGTACCAGGCACTGTTCTAAGTGTTTTAGATAATTAACTCGTTTACAATTCACAACAACCCTATGTGGTGGTTCTCTTACCAGCCTTAATTTACATACGAGTAAAGTGAGGTAAAGAGGATAAGGTTACAGAACTTTACTCATCTGCCCAAGTTTATAAAAGTTAGTCTAACATTTAAACCCACACAGATTCTTTTTTTTAAATTTATTTTACTTATTTATTTTGAGAGAGACAGAGAGAGCACAAGTTGGGTAGAGGCAAAGAGAGAGAAAATTCCAAGCAGGCTCTGCACAGCCAGCGCAGAGCCCGATGCAGGGCTTGAACTCACAAAATTGTGAGATTATGACCTGAGGTGAAATCAAGGGTTGGACACTTAACCTACTCAGCCACCCAGGTGCCCTAAAACCCAAACAGATTCAACTCAGGATTTGAACCCAGGCAGTTTGACTCGAGAGCACATACTCAGACATATTTCTGTATACTGTCTTCTACATAAAAAGATCTTATAAAAAATAGTACAAGAATGCAGCCTCTTAAAAAAAGTATATTAGCAATTTAGATCAAGTCTGAGGCGCCTGGGTGGCTCAGTTGATTAAGAGTCCGACTTCCACTCAGGTCATGATTTCGCAGTTCATGGGTTTGAGCCCCACTTCAGGCTCTGGGCTGACAGCTTGAAGCCTAGGGCCTGCTTCAGATTCTGTGTCTCCCTCTCTCTGACCCTCCTCCACTTGTTCTCTCTCGCTCTCAAATATAAACAAACATTATTAAAATTTTAAAAAAAGAAAGAAATTTAGATCAAGTCTATTTACATCAAGCAAGCTAAGGATATGGTAGAAAAATATTAAAAGTTAAAACTAACAGTGTAACATACAATTTCTTAGTTCTCTAAGTTTAAAAATTAAGTTTATACTATCTTTCCAAAGCACTGAATTAGCCTTGAACTCACTGTTAACAAGCTGCTGGGGAAAAAATAAAAATGATTGGCAGCATTTTTACAAAGATCTTCTTAATAGAATATTAACGTAATTTTAATTCAATCTGGGAGGAAGATAATGATAATGGTTACTAAATAGACCATTGTTCTCGTTCCATTCCAACAATGGAACCCAGAAAAACACCTTTTAACTCTCCTATTTTTTAATCTTTGAAACTCCAGTGAGGTAAATCACATGCAAATTCTCTAGAGGCTAACGTGCCTTTCAGAATAGCTTTATGATTAAGTACCCACCTGAACATGATGCTATTCTAGAAACTACAATTATAAAACTAAAAAGTCCTGGCATGATAGAAAAAGATATTTTAACAACTGTCTTTAGAAACAACATTTCTAAAAAATGTTTAAAACGTAATGATTCATTCAGCATGTGTCTAGAAGCACAAAGGACAGATTCATATATAAAAAAGTGAGCAAAGTCTGCAGCAGATAATTTAGACACAAAGTCCAGTTTTCCTTAAAATATTCAGGTAATTGAAGGCAGAACACAATTCCAGGTTAAATTTTACAATTTGTGTTCAGAACAGTTTCTTCCCTCACTACTTCCCTGTCTCTGCTCCTTCCCACCTCTATGCCTCAACCATTCTAATATTTCAGATATTCCATCTACCTTCTGTAACCTCCCGTGTGATCATTCCTCCACCCTAATGGTCTTTCTACACCAGTGTTTCTCACCCTCTTTTTCATCACTGCTCCGTTAAGGAGACCTTTTAGACATTTCTTCTATTCATCTCCTCCACTGCCCCATAGACTAAGGAGTATGATTTTGTTAGATAGGATTCAGCTTTACAAGGTCACAAAACATTGTCATAGCTGTGGTTGTTTTCACCTGCCAAACACCAATTTTCTCCCCTTGAGGGCAATAATGCCCCATTGAGAATGCATGTCTGATAGTCAATTCAGTCCCTGGTCCCCACCATCCTGTTTCTGCACTTGGCTAACTACTAATCCACTTGCCACTTTCAATTCTCATGTTAGACTTCATTTCTTCCAGGAAGTGTTTTCTAGGGGCGCCTGGGTGGCTTAGTTGGTTAAGGGTCCGACTTTCGCTTAGGTCGTGATCTCGCGGTTCGTGGGTTCGAGCCCCGCGTCGGGCTCTGTGCTGACTGCCAGCTCAGAGCCTGGAGCCTGTTTCGGAGTCTGTGACTCCCTCTCTCTCTGACCCTCCCCTGCTCACGCTGTCTCTCTCTCTCTCTCCTAGAAATTTAAAAAAAAAAAAAAGTGTTTTCTGACTCCCTAAGTCAAGGTTATACGCTCTTCCTATGTACTCCTATTACGTGGAGTTATTTTCCAGCATTTAGTACATAACACTGTAATTTTCCTGTTTATTTATATACATCCTTCCTCTGGCTGTAATCTCTGAGGATTATTTCTAGTTTGTTCACAGATATGTGTCTGTATTAATCAAGTTTCTGCAAAGAAACAGAACCAATAGGATGTGCATATATACAGTGATTTATTTAAGGAATTGTATCATGTGACTTGTGGGGGCCGGTAAGTTTGAAATCTGCAGAGCAGTCCAGGAGGCTGGGGACCCAAGAAAAGCTGATATTACAGCTCAGAGTCTGAAGGCGGTCTGGAGGCAGTATTCCTCCTCCTGGGGGAGCTTTAGTCTTTTTTCCTCATAAGACCTTCAACTGATTGCATCAGGCCCACCCACATTCACAGAGGGCAATTTACTTAAAGTCCACTGATTTAATTGTTAATCTCACATGATAAACACCTTCAGAAACATCCAGACTGATGTGTGAACAAATACCTGAGTTCCTTGACCTCATCAGGTTGATATAAAATTAATCATCACAGTGTCCAACACATAAAACTATGCAAAGCACATAGTAATTTTTCAACATATATCTGATGAAGAAAATCTACATGTTAGAAGTGAATTTATGGTATCAGTTAGCTTAAGTTAGGTACTTACTATGTCAGTCAGCTTAAGTTAATGTATGCCTCCATAACAAATGACCTCAAAGTCTTGGTGGCTTAACATCATACAGGTTTATTTCTTTTTCATACAACATATCTACTGACTATCAGCTGCTACTCTGTTCCATGTCACTGTCACCCAGACATAAGCTGATGAAATAGCCTCTGTCTGGAATACTGTCAGTTTCATAGCAGAGGGAAACAAATTTTTAGTTTCTTCTTAATGTGCACACACCACTTCTACTTACATTATACTGGCCAAATTAATTTCATGACTAAGCCTGACACCAACATAGCAGAAATGAAGTGTGAAAGTACAAGGATTGTTGTGGGTTGGACTATGTTCCCCCCAAATTCATGTTGAGGCCCTACCACCCAGTACCTCAGAATGGGACCCTATTTGGAAATAGGTTCACTGCAGATATAATTGGTTAAATTAAGGTCATGGGTTGGTTTGGGGGAGTAGTCTGGGGGACTAATCCAATATGACAGTGGCCTTATAAAAAGGGTAAATTTGGAGACAGTCTGCTCTAAGGGGAGAATGTCACATGAAGATGAAAGAAGAGATCCAGGCAATATTTTTGCAAGTCAGGGAATACCAAAGATTGACAGCAAACCAGAAAGTAGGGGAAAAGCATGAACAGACTCTTTCTCATATCATACATGAGAAACCAACCCTGGTACAGTTTGCTCTTGGACTTTTAGCCTACAAAACTGTGAGCTAATACAGTTTTGCTGTTTTCCCCACTCAGTCTGTAGTACTGTTAAGGCAGCCGGAGGAAATTAATACAGTGGTGAACATTTATAAGACACCCTACAGTGTCCAAAAACATCAAGATTCAGCAGTAGGTGCAAATTCTGACTATATAAGAATTACTGTTCAGAGTAGATTCAGTCCTAGGAAATGAAAATAAAACTGGATTCCTATGGGGAATTGCCCCAGGTGTATGATGGGAAATCAGCCGAGCCTGTAGAATTTCTGGGCAGCTAACTCCATGATGTCGTTTCTGGTTCCAGGTAATTCCTGGCATACATATATTATTCTGCTATGTTATAAACACAAAACTGCTAGTGAAATAATAGCAGCATCTTTTTATTTTCTTTTTTTAAAATCAATTTGAGGCTGAAAAATGCACTTCTAAAGAATTACCACTAGGTGCCACTCTTGGCAGAAACGAGAAAAAGCTTGCTAACATCTTTAAAATGTTTACTGCAACGGTGTTGG